TATATATTTAGAAAAATCCCAAGAACCAAGTATTGCCTAAAAGTACTCGTTATTAATTCCTGATGTTGACATAAAAAAATATATAATATTGCTATCTCTTGTCAGGTATTGTTTATATAGCTGTGCTGTTAATAAAAAGCCAGGTATACAGTGGCCTTCGTATAATAAGGCCAAGTGTCGCAACCCAGAGTAAATAATGGCCTGTCCTTTTTCACTGTGTCGGTCGTTGTATTCTAAACCGATGAAAGGTGAAATCTGGTTGCTATGGGTTAACGCAAACCATTGCTCTTTGCCCTTCTTGCCATATGCTTAGAATTTCTGTTGGCAGTAAACAGCCTTCATATTGTGCTCTTGTATCCATTACACTTCCTGATGTCTTTACAAGCTTTTCAGTGTGTGATAACAGGACATTTATTGTGGCAATAGCTGTAGTATATAAGGGTGCCATTCTTATGTTGCTCAATCGTTGAGCTACCACTAGTGCCAACAGATGTTGAGCATGCACTAATGATTCCTTCCAGACATTAAAGCGTTAAGTCTATTCTGTTGTCAGAGGCTAGAGTTTAAGATGTTTGGAGCCAATAGGACAAGCTACCTCATAAGTTCTTCACAGGAACATAAACCAGCCCTAATTCTGTCTTCTTGATGACTGCGTTCAGATGGCTGTGGTAAAAGTCAGTGCAGTGTAAATATGACCATTTTTGTCATTGCTTTGTGCAGCTTGAAACTGGAATGTGAGAAATTGGCCAGCGAGAAGACGGAGATGCAGCGGCATTATGTCATGGTAAGAAAGCTGTACAGCTAGCTAAAAAATGTCTTTTTGCATTTCTGTTTATATTCTTTTACATAGCAGACTTGTGTTGCTGGAGGCAGAAGCTAGATTATAGGTTGAAGTATTGGATGTTCCGCTGTCATATGCTAAAGCTTCTAGGTGCTTGAAGGATATCTAATGGCTTTTCTATTTTATTTTCTCTTCTCTAGTACTATGAGATGTCATATGGGCTGAATATTGAAATGCACAAACAGGTACGGTAAACTATTTCCTTTGATCAAAGAGCAGAACCCTTTTTCCTTCTCTTGAACCCTTTTTTTTTATTACCAATACATTTTAAGATTTTCTTTGCTTTGTATCAAGATTTATTGTCTGTTGTGCATGTGGCTTTTACGGTTGGTTGTTAACTCCACAATGGTTCACATAATACGCCTGTGATCAGTTTTGTAGGCAGCTGTGAATTTTTTTTTTTTCCTGGAATATAAAAAGTGTTTTCTCATATGTGGATCTGCTGGTATGAGAAATAATCATTTTTTTTGTTTTTTTTAAATTTGGTATAGCCGCTCATATAATCAAGTCCCATGTATGTAGGTGGCATTTGACTCTAATGTGGTCAGATGTTCTGCTTTTTGTGCTTGTATATAATGGAGTCATTCCTTTTGCGTTGTTGGTGAGATATAAAAGGCTTGCTTATTTGGACAATGGGATTGGTTGCTTTTTATAATGCGGCTGAGCTAATGTGTGCTATGAATGATGGATGGGCTGTAAGGACTACAAACATAATTCCTCTCTTATAAAATACTAATTGTACTAAAATCAAAGCAATCACACTCCCTGGTTGATTACAAATTCAAGAGATAAATGACATTTTAATTCCAAACATTGTAAGAACAATTATGTTAAGGGTTGTGCTTACACTTTAATGGGAAGTTGTATGTGTAATTACGATTGGAATAGAGGATTACTGAGGATTAAGTTTAATTAGAATATAATTTTCCATTACTGTCATTTTTGTTCAAATTAGTAATGTAAACAACCTAGTAATACTTATGGACTTCATCAATTCCTGATGGCCCCAGTGAATTGGCGCATCAGACCTGCTTTGTAATTATCAGCGTTTAAATGCGATATGAGCTCTAAATTTTGTATGTCACTGTTTTGCAGCTGGAAAATTAATTAGTTGCTTTAAAGAGTTGACTGTTTAAGGTTTAGTGGTTAATGTCACGTTGAATCTTGTTTGTCAAAATCTGTTTAATACTTTTTTGCTATGCAGTCTCTCCATATATTTATTTCTATCTGTCCATATTTTTATAAGGGAATTTGCTGAATTTTATGAGCGAGATTATGCTGTCATATTTCCACCCAGTCCTCTAAATTCGTCTTGAGTTTTACAGCTTAAAAGAGAACCTTGGTAATCTCCCTTCGACTTCAAAATTGATCTTTATACAGCCTTCCTTAAATGCAATCTTACACAAAATCCTGCAGGCTGTTTATCGCATTAAGAACTACAGACAGCCCTGCAAAAACCACCTACTTATATATTTCCTTTTAATCTCTGCTTCCTCCTCTTTTCACCAGAGCAGAAGAGGGAAGGGAGGGGATGAGGGGGGGCATATCCGTCTTTGTTTTCATCCACTAGACAGACGGCCTTGGTTCCTCTCAGGCGCTCATCCAGATGTACTTACTCGATACCCTTGTAATAGAAAGCAGGTTAGAATTCTGTGAGTTGCCCTGCGGCATAATTGGACAGAGTGCTACAGATCGGGTTAGGCTTATTAGATTTATGCCTTTCAGGGTTCAAGAGCAGGGATCTCCAGAGACCGTGGAAGTACCCCTAGTAATTGGCGGCCCTGCTATTTGAAACCTCCTGCGTGTTTGAAATGATTTTTTTTTTTTCCCTGTGAATTCTATCTTGTTTTTCTTGGCCCCTTTCAAGCACTTTTTTTTTCTGTGGGATATTATTTCATTGGAACAGAAAATGAAGGCTGTGATTGAAGCAGAACTCTGTGACTTGGCAAATTGATGAAAGGATAAACACACTCGGCTGTAGCGATGTGGGGTCGATGTTTCCAGCCCAGCCCTTCCCTTGTTTTGATGCTCATCAGTCATCCAGTGTTGATTTTGATAGAAGACTATTAAAGCGAAACCTATGGGGAATTTGTCATTCTGAAAGGAAAGCTAATGTAATTAGTACCAATTAAAGTACATTTAGTCAATTGGATTTAATCTTAATTAAGCCTGTGTAATGTTGCCAATTTTTAACAATTATGTTTGAGAACATAATTAATTCAAATTTTGGTAACTGAGTAAATAGCTAGAGCCTCGATGCTCAATGCATGTATAATATGAATTTTCATTTTTTTTTGGAGGATTTTTAAATGTGAAAGATCAGCGACATAGGAGGAAGAATAATTGTGTGTGTGTATGTATGTGTGTGTGTATATATGTATGTATGTATGTATGTATGTATGTATGTGTGTGTGTGTGTGTGTGTGTGTGTGTGTAATATATATA